AATTGTAAGCTTTAATTGTATTCCGTTAGAAATCGTCAGCCTTTAGGTTAAAAAATCTTAAAGTTGCCGTAATAATTGATTCTGAATCATCGGTTTTATTATGAAGGCATGAGACCGGCCTACTACTAGAAACACCAGCGCGCATTATACACAAGGGTCTCATTTCATTTGAATAATTTCATATTCAGGGACGAAATTACAGATCGGCCTGTCAACCGGTAACTGATGATTAAGGAAACCGGTTGTCATTGTGAATCCTCTTAACCGCAAGGAAACGAAATGAGACTCGATCCACGTCCGGCTAAGCTAAGCCGAGCCATGTCTACCACGGAAAAGAACTTTACAAAAGAATGGGCGTGTTTTCTCACGTAGGATATGTGAGTCGTGGCTCATTAACAGACCAATTGTATAAACATTCCTCCTTGAAAACTTTCTTATATATTTTATTCAAATGACACTGAGGCATTTAAAAAACAAAGGACTGTAACGAACTACTTCCAAATGAAAAGAAACTTACAAAATCTACAAAAATTTCGTAGATCAGAAGAATCCCACGTCATCATTTAAATAATAACAAATAAATAATAATCAAAATAATCTACTAATAATTGACCGTGTAGTGCTGACACGATAAAAGAAAAACATGCACATTGACAGAAATTGTTGTAAGATCATTTATCGTCCCAGATCATCATAATCCGCCTACCATCGTTGTTTTATGGCTAGTCCTATTTTTCTTTTTCATTTACATAAAAGGCAGATCAAACTGCTGACACACCGTTCAAAAACTATTCCACTGTGAAATTTACTCTTGGGTCAGCGGGTTGATGAACCCGTAGTTTGGACATTTCCGATCGTTTTACTATGCCTATCTTCGCTGTTTTATTCTGCTAGATCAAAACTTCAAACACAGAACTATCTCACTCTTCACAAGAATAAAACATGCTCTTAATTTTTAAAAAAAAATTTCATCGATATAGCAATGATTACTAGTACAATCGCAAAAACAAATACACCATTATGAAGAATTGATAATCAACAATCAAATAACTAAATGGTTAAGATAATTTCTATCTGTCTTATTATACTTTTATCCAAGTAAGAAAAATGAAATATCAAGGAAAGTATTACAGTGTTACTAGTAAATTTATGTTTGATGGTTCAGATTTGCTTTTGATTAAAGCGTTCAGTTATAAGCAAATGGTCTATTTTTTTTCTTTTTGCCGGCGTAGTTATAATCTAGTTGAAGTTATGATAGTTCAGCTTTTTTATTACCTCGTTCAGTTTTGAATACATTGATTTTATGATGGTTCAGTTTTGTGTATAATTTCCATCGATACGTGATGAGAAAAATGAATTTATAAGGTTCTGAATTGTTTCTGATTAGAAGCGTTCAGTTATAAGCAAATGGTCTAGTTTTTTTCTTTTTGCCGGCGTAGTTATAATCTAGTTGAAGTTATGATAGTTCAGCTTTTTTAGTACCTACGTTCAGTTTTGAGTACATTGATGTTATGATCGTTCATTTTTTTTATGATTGCCAGCGATAAGTCATGAGAAAAATGAAGTTGTAAAGTTCTGATTGGAAGCGTTCACTTATAAGCAGATGGTCTAGTTTTTTTTTTCTTTTTGCCGGTGTAGTTATAATCTAATTGAAGTTATGATAGTTCAGCTTTTTTAGCACCTACGTACAGTTTTGAGTACATTGATGTTATGATGGTTCAGTTTTTTTATGATTGCCAGTGATAAGTGATGAGAAAAATGAAGTTATAAGGTTCTGATTTGTTTCTGATTGTAAGCGTTTCGTTATGAGCAAACTGCAGTTATGATAATTGCGTTTGTTTTTATTACCATCGTTCGTATTACCATGAAGAATTTCGTGTGTCGTCGTGTTTATTTGTCGAAGCCTTTCGACAATGGAAACAAACGATCTTATACCGCTATCAACACGGAAAAAAATCTAACACTAAACGAAATAGTTTATTTGGATTGCATGCAATAGGTTTACGAAACTCTACAAGCTACCTTGTGCGTGTGTTACAAAATCCAAATGCCATATGTCCAAAAAATAATAATTGTTTTGAATTAGGGTTTAATGCTGTTGTAAAATGTCAACGTAGAACAGTAATTATGTGTGGTCCTGTCTCATAAATAACACCAAGTCGTCGTAAGAACTCAGATCTGGTAGCCAGTCTTCGTGGGGAACTGTTAAATCCGAAAAATTTGTAATTTAACTTAACAGAAAAAACAATCTGTACTTTAATAAATAAATATGTCAGGCTGATATCAGTAGCGAGGAACATAAAATTCTTAGAGACATCTAGTCAAGTAAAACGTAATGACTTGATGTTATAACTAAACATTAATGTTTTTTATGTCTCTGCAACTTTGACGCCCTGAAAGCCGCTTATGCTGGTCATAATCGAATCACTTAATTTTTCATTTTATGTATAGCATATTTGATCTTATTTTTCTCTCATATTGTCAAGAAGATAAATATAAACTGACTTCCAAATGTTAAACATTTCATGTGTAAATTCAAGTGGTAAAAAGTCTTAAATATTGACTTAAAAACCGATATTTAATTTTGCAAGTAAAAATTTTTTGGTTTACCTTTTACTCAGCTCAAATCAAATTTATTTATTTCTCATCTTACCTGCATACCAGACGAATCCTGCTAGAGAATGAGAATACCATGAAAATTCATTTTTATCATTAAAACTTTATTTATTTACTTAAGTTTTCTACGATTCTACAATATGCTAGTTTTTGCCTTTCTGGGTCTAACGTCCCTAATACCACAATTATCAAGTTGTATAATTAAATTATAATTTATGTCTTTTTCTAATTTATGACAGATTTTAAATATTAATTTACAACATATATTTAAATAATTGTCATATGTGTTAGTTCAGTTTTAGCCAGGTGCATTTGCCATTTAAATGTCTATTTATATTGCTAAGCCATCACGTAAAAATAGAACTAAAGTCAAAACACACCATCTGGAATCCTTTTTAAGTTATGTACTTGTCTGAACGTGTAATTATAAGATTTTCTTGTTTTATGTTCAAATAACACGAAAGTTAGATGGATTTACGCGAGGCCAGAATTGTTTTTCACATTTTACGACTATAAGCAGTTTCTGACTTTTATGAACCGATTGAAGTTACGACGAGCCAGATTTATGTTATGTAGTGTTTACCTCATTAGCCAACGTTCAGTTATGAGAACATTTAATTTACGAAAAACCATAATATTTGGATTTCTCCCGTGTGTTTTTGGTTAGCAAATGTTGAAATATGAACGAATTGAAGTTACCATTGAACAAATTTGTTATGTTAAAATGGTTCCATGTTTTTATTGCCTGTGTCCAGTTACGAGTAAACTGAAGTTATGATGGTTCTGTTATTTTTGATTAACCTTGTTTAGTTATGAACAAATTGAAGTTATGATGGTTAAGATATTTGTTTTTGATAGCAAGCGTTCGTTTATGAGAAAATTGATGTCATGATTGTTCGGATTTGATTCTCATTGGTAACGTTCTATTACGAATAAACTGAAGTTATAATGGCTTAAATTTGTGTGATTTCCATGGTTCAGTTAGTAATAAATTGAAGATTTGATTGTTCAGATTTGTTTTTATTGTCAGACTTCAATAACAAGAAATTGAACATACGAAACTTTCAATGTTTTTTAAATTCACTAGTTTACGTGGTCCGCTTGACCATTTAATATCGTTCGATTAATTAAGGTTTTTAATTGAGATAAAAAAAGTCAGTGTCACGAGCGGGATTCGAACCCACGACCTTCGGCTTTATACGACGCTACTCTATCACTTGAGCTAGCGTGACTTAGATCCACTCAGGCACTAACTTCCCATCTCAAACCTTTTTTTATCTAAACCAATACCTGACATAAATGTGTGGTGATTAGTGACCGTTAATCGATAATTATTCAGAAATCGTGAGATGCGGTCTGGTGTGATGTAGGTTTCAAAAAAACATTTTCTTTACCGTGCCACCGTTTCAATCTTTATTGAGGTCATCTTCAGGGCCGAGTGGCACTCTCAACACGACACGCAAGAATGGCAATCACACAGAAGACAAACACTTTGAGCCCTGAAGATGATCTCAATAAAGATCGAAACGTTGGCACGATAAAGGAAATGTTTTTCTGAAACCTACATCACACCAGACCGCATCTCACGATTTCTGAATAATTACCTTACATAAAGATTAACTAATTGAAAAAAGTGATTTGGTCAATCGGAACCACGAACTCTAATGGACTTACATAAACGATGTATGTACGAAGACTGCGAATAATTTTTCTATTTACATATTGACTTCACTGGATGACATTAGGAGTCATTAACGATAGGAAATAAAGTTGTTGCGTATCTGGACAAATAAATTCTAATACAAACTGTTTTTTTCAACAACCTTTTCGGGATTACTCAACAAATTGCGTATACTCTTACTAAGATCATTGATAAAAATCTGATTTATGTTTGCACATTGAAAGAATTTTAGTCTAACCCCCTCAATATTTGAGAAGAGATAAACCTCTGTACTGCTCATAAAATAGATAATCTTACGTCCAACAGTGCTGGGCTTGTTTTACTGCCGAATGCTCTTTTCGAGACTGTTCAGTTTGAAGAAAAAAATGCAATCTCCTAAGACGATATCTTTCCGTAAATTTTAACATAACCCATTAAATTACCCTTAAATCTTTCAATTGTGTTTTGTTGAAGGGGGGGATTGGTGGATGGAATTAATTCACTTAATCGGTTTCTATTTGCATTCCCCCAGTGTTCACGCCGAGTGACAGATGAATGAATATTTCATGAAGTCATTATCTAATCGAAACTGACAACATTCTTTAAAGAAAGCTCGAGTGTAATTATTTTCCGGGCCATTATCCCCTTCGCCCTTTGGGCTCTTGTTTTATTCCGTCTCATTGTCAGTGTTTATTTTATTAATGTAGCTGTTGTATTTTTACAGTTGGCGGGATGCGGGGTCATAGCGGTCGGCCTCTGGACCATTTTGACGAAGCACGAGTACATCCCTCTGTTGACGAATCTCACATATCCACTTGCTGCCTATGTCCTGGTCATCGCAGGATGTCTCACGCTTATCGGCGTCTTCATCGGATGCTGTTCCGTTCAGAAAGAAAATAGATGTTTCATCATACTGGTAAGTGTATTGTGGTTCTCATACTCATGCTCTATAAAAAGAATTACTGTTCAATTTTAGCTTGATAGTTTCCGATCTTTTTTGTCTGTTATCTTGCTTGTATGTCAAACGCATTTCTTCGTCTTCAGTCCAGGGTCAGTAATTTTGGAAAACAGTCCTCAACTAACTAAACTGATCAGAAAAGACCAGACTACAGCTTTATCTCCCCGCACATCCCAAGAGGAAACATCGAAATTTTATTTTTCAATTAATCGACTTTTTCTTGTGATTGGCCACTTCAAAAGAGACTGGCAGAGAAAGAGATTGATAAAGACAGATTTATAGAAAGAGACAGAGAATAAATAGAGATAGGTAGGTATGTACATAGAGAGAGAGAGCGTGTGAGAGAGAGAGAGAGAGAGAGTGAAATTCAGAGAGCAAGGTCTGTTATCTTGCTTGTATATCAAACGCATTTCTTCATCTTCAGTCTCGGGTAAGTAATTTTGGAAAACAGTCCTCAACTAACTAAACTGATCAGAAAAGTCCAGACTACAGCTTCATCTCCCCGCACAACCCAAGAGGAAGCATCGAAATTTTATTTTTCAATTAATCGACTTTTTCTTGTGATTGGCCACTCCAAAAGAGACTGGCAGAGAAAGAGATTGATAAAGACAGATATGTAGAAAGAGACAGAGAATAAATAGGAGATAGGTAGATATGTATGTAGAGAGAGAGAGAGAGAGAGAGGGGGGGACAGACAGCGTGACAAACAAACAGATAAATAAGAATGAGAGCTAGAGCTAGAGAGAAAGCGTGAGGGAGAGTGTGAAATTCAGAGAGCAAGAGAATAAAGACATTATGAAGGAAATAGAGAACGTAAGACGGAGAGAAAGAAATAGAGTGAGAGTAAGAGTGAAAGGGAGGGAAACAGACAAACAAACAGATAAACAAGAAGGAGAACTAGAGAGAGAGGGGGGAGAGAGAAAGATAGAGAGGGAGTGAGTGAGACAGACAGACAGAGGATAGAGGGAGGGGGGAAAAGAGAGAGAACGATGGGGTCGGGAAAAGAAATAACAAGAAAGAGAAATGTCCTGCGAAAAGAACTTAACACAGAGAAAAAATTAAAACGTGAGCTATAGAGAGAATATTAGCGAGAGGAAGATAGAGAGAGTGAGAAATAGATACGGAAAGAAAGAGAGAGAGGGGGGAGAGAGACAGACAGACAGACAAATAGCATAACAAACAAACATACAAATAAGAATGAGAGTGAGAGAAAGAAAGAGAGAATGAGAAAGAGAGAGTGAGAAAAAGGGCAAAGAGTTGCAGAATATGTTGAAAAGAAAGTAAAATGATAGAGATAAAGAGAGAAGAGAAAGGAGAGATGGGAGAGAAAGGGAAAAAGAGAAGAAGCAGAGCTAATAAAAAAGAAAAGTAAAGAGAAATTACCTAATTAACATTGGGACAATGAAAGAAAAAATAAAGATAGATAGATAGATAGGTAGGTAGGTAGATACATAGATAGATAGAGATTAGAGATAAAGAGATAGAGAGATAGAGAGAAGAGAGATAGAGAGAGTGAGGAGTGGAAAAGGATCGGAGAAAGGGCATGATTATAATCCTTTTAAAAATATAGTTCCTAGAATAGTTGTAGAACTCCTTCAAGCTGATGATGAGCTATAAGCTCGAAATCCGGATCATTGAAAACAACTTACAGTGAGTAGGAACTATCTTTTCAAAAGGATTGAACACCGCACTCACTCCACCATTCATCATTTATTTCTAGGACATGATTATTACAGATTATTACCACTTTGTCTTTATCCCTTAATATTAATACAACGTATTCTGTTTGGTATTATATAACAAAATAGAAAGACATTCCCCATAGCTTAAGACCGACTGTAGGTGGACGAGATTAAAAAATGATTATAATCTCTAAATTTCAAATGACACTTGACGGTATTAATTAATTGAGATAAGGAGATTATTTATAGGGATTATATGGATGACATGGCCTAGCATTGTTTGCCGCTAATGTGACATACGCCCACGATAACGTTTGATATTTGCAAATCCCTAGTGACATATGAGCCAAATTGGTCACGGAAAAGATAATCTGCATACTTCCTGATGAGCTCATTTGTTTATTGACATTTCAAATTGTTATAGCTGTCAGATTCTATCTAAGTTGTATCATCTTTGACGTCGAATTTGTAATAAAACCAGGTATAAATAAAGGAAAAAATCGAGGTAAGGATGAAGAAGGTAGTTTAACTTCTCCAACCGATTACTTCGCGGAAATGCATTACTCGAGAACTTGTTGTCTTATAAACCACGGTTTTTAATTGTCATAAAATAGGCGAATGCCGCCGGCCAAACTGAAACGATCATAAACCGCTGAGAATTACAGGCCAATAAATTGCGTTCGTAATGTACGGACCAAATCGGGACTTGAGCCACCCTCAGTGTCTGAATATGGAATCAAAACTTCAACGGGCATCAATCATGCGCGTGAGACCGGTCATTTTTTACAATTTTTTTTCTTCTCCTCCATCTGCTGTAAATATCGAAAACCAGGAGTGGAATGCCGTCCTGAATCCTCGTGTAAAGACTCGAACTATTAACTAATGGTCTACCTTTTCGAATTGATGGATAATTAGTTATCGGCTTTCTTTCTTCAAAGCCGCTAAAAGCTTTCTAGTTGAAAATTACACGTTTCAAAAGGATGTATTGAACGAAAACGAAGCCTATGGATAAATAAGATAATTTTTCAATAATTACACAATAGAATTGTTGATAAGCATCCTTTAAGAAAAAAATCAAACAATTGATTTTTTTATTTGACACAAACTTCTTATTTATTAATCCATATATGTATTTAGCAATCACAAATGACCGTAATAGCAGTTTTAACTAACTACATTTTTAATCTAAAGTCTTGGTTGATATGAAAAGCAAGTGTCACGAGCGGGATTCTAAGGCGTAATAGCCGAAGATCGTGGGTTCGAATCCCGCTCCTGACACCTCCTTTTCATCTCAACCAAGCCCTTGATTGAAAATATAATTGAATAAAACATTCATTTATTAGTGATTTATTATTTATTATTTATTATTTATTAATTATCATTTATTATGTGCACAATATAGATTCCGGTCAAAGAACTACAAATACAAAAATAAAAAATATTCTCAGGCTAAACGCAAAGAATATTCTCTAGCTCTCTGATATAAACTATTAAATAAGGATTTTTTAAATTTTTTTGTTTTAATATTTTTTATTAAATTCACTAATTTCGTGGTCCGTTTGACCAATTAATATATTACAATTAATTAAGGTTTTTAGTTGAGATAAAAAAGTCAATGGCACGAGCGGGATTCNTTAATTTTCTCTGCAAGGCTATGGCTTACATCTATGTCTCAACACTTAACACGCTAATATAATAATTGGGACATTTACACCAACAAAAGGTTTCTTGTACTTGTTGTACCAAAAATAACGCTATAACAGTCCTAGAAGTGTTGTTGTTGTTTGTTTTGGTTTTGTCTGGTGTTAAATTGTAAGATGCCAGAAGTTAATAAAAAAGGAAAATTAATCAGCCCGTTCATTCAAAATGCTATTTCTTAAATAATTCTTAAATATGCACTCGAAAAATACTAACAAATTACACACTTCAACTCGTGCCGACATACCTAACTTGTATCCTACAACTTTACAGGATATGGGATCAATTATGAGTGAGAGTATAAGAACAGGTCAGAAATTAATAAAAGAAATGTATTGGTATGATTTAATTAATGCATATTTAAGAATAAAAAATTCGTGTAAACAAAAAACAGCTGTTAAATTCATGGTTGTCATGTTGGTTACCTACGCCCTAACGGATAGCAATGTGACTACATTTTCGACCTAACACCTAACATTGGCCCTGGCCTGTTAGATCGAGCAATGCTAACTAGCAGATTCTTACATGTCTACGTCATAATTTTTCTCGATCCAACAGGACCTAACAGAGTTAAAGATCGTGAATACCCCTTTAGTCTTAATTATTATGATTTCTGGGCAAACGAAAAAATATTCTGTTTAAGTAAACACGTTTTTCTTAGGAACTTTGTTGATGTGTCCTTCATCTAATCTTGCGATTGTGAGTATGTTAAATTCCTGGTAGAACTGCTATCTGAAAGTTTCATTTGCATTTTACATACATTACTTTGAAATACGTCTATGCGCATTATTTTTATCCTGATGCGTCTCACCGATGCATGGAACTAAATTGAATTATTATTCTCTCGGTATCTATCTACATGTCCCACTCTCTTTTCCTTCTCTTTTCCTCACACACATGCTTTCTTTCCCTCTTTCTCTCTCTCACTATCTATTTCTCTCTCAATCTTTCCCATCCCTTCTCTCTCTCTCTCTCTCTCTCTCTCTCTCTTCTTTCTGACCCCTTTATCTCTTTTTCTCCCCTCTCTCACTCATCTCTTTCTTACTGTTTTACCTTCTGTCTTGATCTAATGCTCTCATTTTCTCACCCTGTACATATCTATCTGCATATCGGGCTATTTTGTCTCATTCCTTCTCTCTTTCTTTATTTTTTTTTTACTCTTATTTTATTATTTTTTTAACTTAATTTTTTAATTCTCTCTTTATTATATAATACATCATTCCCCTCTCTGTTTACTAATTAACCAATCTCTCTCTCTCTCGCTCTCTCTCTCTTTTTCTCTTTCCCTTTTTATCGATCTATCACTCTTTCATTCTCTCTCTCTCTCTCTCTCTCTCTCTCTCTCTCTATCTATCTATCTATCTATCTATCTCTCTCTCTCTCTCTCTCTCTCTCTCTCTCTCTCTATCTCTATCTCTCTCTCTCTCTCTCTCTCTCTCTCTCTCTCTCTCTCTCTCTATCTCTATCTCTATCTCTATCTCTATTTCTATCTATCTATCTATTTATGTAGCTGTCTTTCTCTTTCTCTTTTTATCGATCTATCACTCTTTCATTCTCTCTCTCTTTCTCTCTCTCTCT